TTCTATGAACTAAATAAAACGATCAGTGGAATTGAACTCGTTAAGATATGTTTGCATAAATCCTGTCAACTAATTACAAAGATCTTCATCCCCGGTGACTGAAGGTTTTGTTAGTACTATTTACAAACAAGAATTTTTGTTAGATTCAGATATATCAATTAGTAGGAAACATTGATAGTAAAGTGTTAAAGAAAACTCATAAAATCATACCTTATAAAGTAAATGACTTATACGTGTTGTAAGCATACATGTAACAAGAGTATGTGTCTAGAGAATCACAAACTATATACTATGTACTACAAACTTTATAAAAACTTGCCCTCTTATAATATGAAGGATTCCATTTCCATGAGATTAGCTAGATACGATGTGCGTGCTCGTAAAGCATGACGTAAGCCCTCCTTTACGCGATCCTTGCTTAGGATGCGATTTGTAAGATTACTTGTGCGGAGCTTTTACGTTCGATAAACTAATAAAACTAATAAAAATTCCTCTTTTGTAGCTCGGACTAAAGATGGAAATGGATATTGAATTATTTCTTCCAGAACCAAAACCTCAAGTGAGATACTATGGAGCTGCAGCACGTGTTAGAGGCCGTGCACTTGCAAACATACTTGAGTTCACTGCTAGTGAACACTTCTACTTAGCTGAAATCCAATTGCCTCAGGTGCAGTTTTGTAATGGTAAGTCCTACTTTCTCAAAACCAAATAAAAAAGTGTTTTGATGCTTGATAGGAATTGTGACAGAGGTTGATGTAAAAACAACAAAAACTATTTAACCGTAAATTCAAAAGGGCAATAGTATATATTGTTGGGAAAATGGTCCTCAAGATTTGCAAAAACATGCCCAATGATAAAGAATTGGGAAAATTGACCACAAGAATATATGTGAAAAACTCTAAAACCAGCGAAAACCACAATCCTCTAGAGAAAATTTCACTATATGACAAATTATTACAGTCACATAAACAAATTTTGAATGCAAATGGAAAAATGCAACCATATATCTAATGGTGAAATTTTATGATTGCTATCAGGTAGACTACTAAATTGGATTGTAAATAGTCATGGTGAGGTGACAATTGAAGGGTGGATAACACCCGCTGCAATATTTGCAAATACACCAATTGAATGCAAAACAGAGCGAATCAAGTTATGCCCGAGTGGGACATGGGGCATGTCCTTCTACTTCCCTGGCCCTGTTGACTGGTTGACGTCTGATATCTTGTTTACTTCAGAGACTGTAATTGAAATTACAGTTATGAAAGCTATGCCTACACCTGTTCCCCCAATTGTTCATAATCAGGATGAAATTGAGGAGATGATTGCAGAATGGCTAGCGTGAAATCTAAATCTTTGTTGGTGCGATAAAGATAGAAATATAAATAAATCAACCCATCTAGATATGAATATATATGTTTTAAGTTATGTTATGTTGTTTCTTATTTGGTTCGGACATCATGTTAAGTTTCAGATTTTCGTGTTTAAGTATGTTATTGGACTAGCAATCACCCCAATCTAGCATGTTTACATACATTTGCATGCGCTTGCACAGACACACACACATGATGACTGGTCATCTGCTCTATATCAGCAAAAATTCAAGAATTTTCAAATGGTTTTCACCAACAGGTTTTCTTTTTCTTTCTAACGGCTTCTCTGATGATAAAATATGGTTATTGTGAAGAGTTGTTATAACTCATATTCAACACAATCCGATAAGTTAGGAACGTGGTATAATGTGTTTAAACATGCATAACTTTGAGTTTATATTATACTACTGGAATCAACTTTTGATAATCCAATCTTTCGGTTGCTTATAAACATATTATAAAACTTTTTAATGTTAATTGTAATATACATTATTTAACATAAAATCTGTTATTATATATATATATATATATATATATATATATATATAGAGAGAGAGAGAGAGAGAGAGAGAGAGAAAGAGAGAGAGAAGTTCAATAGAGAACAATTGTTAACCAAGGAACCAATTAACAACGTTGTAGACTTTTACAATGAACACACATGCATCAGATTATAACAAAACTCACTTCTTTTTTTTCGTTTAAAAATTTTTTAGGTCATGTTTTTTATCGAAAAAAAAAAAACTGAATATACCGTTATTCACGATTTTCGTTCTCGTTCCAAAGAGATCCATGATAATATATAAAAAAACAAATTTTTTTTTAAATCACTTCATTGTCATTGTTGAAAAATTAAAGTCTATTTTTTATTATAGAAAAAAATTAATAAATATATAATTTTTTTTTCTTTTTAAACATAGATTCATATTCATGTAAAAAACGTTATTTAAGTTTAGATTCACAATGTGAACATGTTCAAATTCATATTCTGAACATTCTCAGATTCACAGTTATACAGACTGCTAATGAGCACAAGTAGCAATCATATTGATTGCGTATGTGCACAATCAACATTCATATAGACTACTGTTGAGTAATCATCAGTCCGTATGATTGCTGATTGTACTCATCATCAGTTCGTACAACTGCTCATTGTGCTCATCCACAATCATACAAAAAACTAAAAAAAGAAGTCGTCAAATGTTTTTTTAGCCTAAATATTGTTTGGATGCACAATTTGAAGAAGATTGATGCTTTTGGTAATGAAAATAAATGAGTTGATTATGAGTTCATAGATTCTCACAAATCTTTTCGTTCTCTAAAGAACCTAGCTCTATCTGTTTATATATATATATATATATATATATATATATATATATATATATATATATATATATATATATATTATAAAGTATATTAGTTATATCTTGAATTTTAATAGGTATAAGTTATAAAGTTTTTTGTACATATCAATTATACATAAATAAATCATTAATATTTGCCAAAAATTTGAAGCCTTTAATTAAGGAAAGTTGTTAAAAATTTTAATTTGGAACAAAATGATAATTTTAAAATAATAAATTCATGTATATAAATTAATTTATATATCTTAAAGTGGATACCAATGTTAATTAATTTACATCAAATATATAAACAAACAATATAAATATAAGGCCAAAACATAAATATTTTGTTTAAAAGTGGTAATTTTTTATATATATAATAAATAATAATAATATTTAATAATTATTTTACAATAAAAAAAACTATTCGTCAAAAAATTTGTTTATCGGCGCTCCTTTGCTCGGGGACACATCTAAAATACTTAACCAAAGATTCAACATATATTTTGCATGGTATTGTACTTGTTGTCTAACATCGTGATTGCTTAACAGATCATTGTCTATCAGCATTGAATCTTAATCTCTGTAGGATGTTAGTGTATATTACATCAGGTTTTATAATTTTATTTCTATATATATGCTGGAGTCAATCCTTCTTCTTCATAGACTATTTTAAGAATAACGGTTGAATCCAACATATATAAAAAATATAAGATCACGCAATAAAGAAATTTCTATAGGATTTTTACAAATCTTGTTCCTATTTCTGCAACCTATTTATACAAGTTACTAAGACCATTTCCAATCCATCTCCTTTTTTTTCTCCAAAAATGAAGTAAAAATGGGGTAAATAGTGTTTCATCTCCAGCCCTACTCTATTTTTTATCTCATTTTTACCTTCAAAAAGTATATTCATAGTATATTTCATTATTCCAACTTACATAGATTTTTCAAACACACCCACCTACTAATTTAGTTTTAACAAATATATAATCTATATTTTTTTCATTACCTTAATATTAAATACAAAACATTATATTTATAATAAACTTATAAATAATTATTAGGGATATATACAGTAAAGTCCCAATATTTTCATCGATTTGATAAAAAAGTCCTAAACTTTATATTTTTGATAGTAAAGTCCAAATTACCGGCACTTTTTGACACTTTTACCATTTTTTCCCGGTTAGCCGATAATTAGGACTTTTTTGTCAACAAGATAAAGTTTAGGACTTTCTTGTCAAATCGTTAATTAGGATTTTACTGTCAAAAATATAAAGTTTAGGACTTTTTTTGTCAAATCGTTGAAAATATTGGGATTTTAGTGTATATATAATTTTTTTGGTTCGAAATTTAATGGTATGATACTCTTTAAGCATACGAGTTATTGAAACATTCTTTAATCAGCTAGATCCTATTGAAATCCTTTACGTTGGTTTCTTGTTAAATCGTTTTTTTAATCTTAACAAACTGACATTGAAAAAAATTGAGATAATCAAGAAAGAAAAAAAGAATCAGGGTTGTGTTGGCTTTTTTCAGTCTTAAAAATGGAAAAAATAAGAAATCTAAAAAAACGAAATTGTCCTAGCTTTATACAAACACAAACAACACATGCCTAGTCAAAAGGGTGTGATTGTGGAGAAGGGAAAGAAGGGCAATTTCGTTTTTTTCGGTTTCTTATTTCTCCATTTTTGGAGCTGCAAAAAGCCAACACAACCCTTGTTCTTTATTTCTTTCTTTCTTGGTTATCTCAATTTTTTTTCAATGTCGGTTTATTGAGATTAAAAAAACGATTTAACAAGAAGCAAACGTTAAGGATACAAATAGAAAAACAGCCTTTTACGACGCGCAATGCGTGTCGTAAAACGCTCAGACGACGCGCAAATGTGTGTCAAGAAATGCCCTGTCATAATGAGAGACGACATGCTTTTGCGCGTCGTCTATAGACGACGCGCATTTACAACACGCAATGTGTATCATTAAAACCCCTGTCAAGAAAGGTCATGTCATAAATGAAGATGACACACATTTTTGCGTATCGTAAATTTGAATGTTTAAAAAAAATAAATTTATATATTTATTAATTTTTAAATTAAATTTGCATTTAATTTCTCATAATAGAAATAAAATACCATATACAAAAAATACAATCCATTGCATAATATAAAATAAAATTTCATACTAAAAAAATAAAATAAATTGCACAAATTATAATGTCATACAAAGAATCATTCAAATGTTAAACAAAAATAATACATTGCTAACATGGGTTATACATTCCTATAAAACTAACAAATAATCATACAGCTCTGTTTCTTACTGGAAACATTTCAACCCATTCTGCACCACTTTTAGGGATGTTGTCATTATTAGCTAATGAGTTGTTCTCCAAAGAAGCAACACCTTCACTCTCAGTAGAAGAATCTGTGGTTTTAAATTTTAATTAATAAATGAATCTTGTTTATTAAATATAACAAAAAAGAAAGTTCATAACAATAAAGACACATAATTTCCAAAACTCTATTTATTTGGCAACGGAAATGAAAAGAATTACCTTTTTCAGTTACCGCATTTGATTGCATGGGTAAACCTGAGATCCGATCCACATATCCAAGACAGAGTTCATTGAGACTCTTGATGGCAGAATCTAAATCATTTCCACTCCTTTCTAGTGCTTTCTCTAGTAGCTGAAAACACAACTTGTTTCTTTTCAAATGACATTCATACACCATAACATAGAATAAAATTAATGTGATTTGAAGTTTGAACAACACTAGACATCAGACATCACAATTCACAGATATTATAAAATGTATTTAAGTGAAGTGGATCTGATTCAGGCCAAACAAAAAACACATACAAAGACATTATGCATCTCAAATGCCACCATGGGAAGGAACTTGAATATAAACCATGTGCTTTATATCTATCAATAATATTATATATTTTGGAACCATATTGGAAGAGAACAACAACATATAATGCTCCTAAGAAATCTAGCAGTTTTTGTACTTTTTGTCTGTACACAAACTCATAGTTAAGTTGCTATTTAACGTCATATATTAGGTTAAAAGAAGAAAAAGGAAATGAATTAGTAATATTGTATTTTCTAGCGGGAAGAAAGTATACGGAAGCCAAAATTTTAAGATTAATAAGTAACTTGAGGGCCAAAATACCATTGTGTACATGAAAAATGAGTGGTCTTAATGACTGTTATGGTGAAGGACCGACAGTGGTCTTAACGGTTGTTATTCGTTCCTGACCTTCATTTGCATTTGTTGGACTCATGCCCTGAAAAGGGTATTTCAATATTCACCTTCTTAAAAGTTCAAGAATGCATATGTTATGTGTAGTATAATTATTAGGAAACTAAATGGAAACAATTCTATAAATAAACATTGGGATCACATGAAGGAAGTAAGTTCAAGACTCATTATGTGCATAGTTGAGGTTTGGTATGCCTAATCCTGTGATTAGGATTTTTATTAGCGCCTTGATTACTGAATCACGTGTCTTCAAGTATTCAAGAGCTTCATGCCTACAGAAGTAACAAGATTAGTCTTAACGACATTTCAGAAAAGGAAAATAATGAGTTTCTTGTTTAATAAATTGAGCAAACTGTTAAGACTTACGCATGTCTACGACTTACTTGCAAACAGATGGCCAGAGTTCCAAGCATCCTTAAGATCAGCTTATAACAAAATTTAAATTACATATATAACAGGGGTATTTTGGCACTTTAGTAGAATAAAAAAGAAATAACGCCTTACCCTGCTGCAGGCTGATACTTTCAGGCTTTCTTGCTGAATTTTGAACTACATTTTCAATCCTTTCATTAATAAACCTAAATCCAATAAAAGAAAGAAATAAAGAACACTACAAGAAACAAGATTAATAAAAAAAAAAGTAAAAAATTAACCGAATTTATAAAAACCTGGGATTTGCTAAATTTATAATGGGCCGTTTACTGCACAAGCAAGCATTTCCCTCACTATGTAACGAAATAAAGAACAATTCAGATCCTCATATCTGAATGTTAAAGATATGAACCCATCCATAAGATGTTGTAGAACCTACAAGAAGTAAAATAAACCTAAAATTATTTTCATAACCATAAATAATACAAAACTAAAATCAAAAGATGAAGTGGAAGAAAACCTTGTGCTCAGCTACAGAAGAAAATAGAGCAGGATTTAACTTATTTTCAGCATAAAGCAAAGTTTTTCGTTCTATGTCTCCTTATGCAATTGTGAGAGGTTCCTGTTTCATAATCTTGATTTGACATGCACGAAAAAGCTCCAAATGGGTGCATAAAAGTTTGATAATGTCCCTATAATGTTTCAAAGTATGTAAGTCGATAAATTAAGATCATTTAATTAAAGAAAAGGTGAAATTTGTAGCATTGAAACCTTGTGAGAAGGTCAACGAGGTTGATATTTCTCATTTGGCTAGAGAACTCCCTAAAAACACTATTAATAATGAGCATTAGTTCATCTGGACCTTGCTTTTCAGGGGTAATACGGGAATACCAAAGATCGGTGACCCATTCTGAAACTATGTGTTTTGTGAATTAATCTATTGCATCTTCAACAACCGGAGAGTTGACTTTTTTTCTCTAGTCTGACTTTCCTGAGATGGATTTAGGGTCTAAGGGTGGTCTTTTGACAGAAAAAACATGAGTTGTTGGTGGGTTTTTGTTATATGATGTAGCTTTTCTCTTCATGTCATAATCTAATGTCAAGGAATAAAGAACAATAAGTAAGGATAATGCAACTGGCAAGTTTATTAACACTGAAGCGCTTGTCACTGAAAAAAAAATTAAAATCAATGTGTGTGATCAATGATCATGTCATTAATCAGAAGATACAAAAGTTATCTAAGTGCTTCTAGTTAAAAGTTTGATCGTGCTTCCCAGTTAGCTATCCTTCACTAGGAAAAATTCAACCACATTGACACTAGGTTTCAATTGAATTAACGAAAGACACACAAGAAGGGGATAATGATCTAAATTCGCATTCATACAACTAATAGCCCTAAATGTATCAATCAACAAGTGAAGAATTATCAATTTTGTAACAAATTGGGTAAAGAGAAAAGGCACAATCATGAGAAGAATTCTAAAAGAGGGAACTTACAAGACATGAGATACAAGAGTCCAATAATGCACATGGATAGGAAAACAATCCGTTTCTTGGCCTCATCGATAAGGTCTCGAGCAGTCACCATTTGCCTGCCAGTGCTCATTTTTTGAAACTCTGATCAGATCAATCTTCAACACTACAAATTCATTACATAAATTCAACAAAATCGTGACCCAATCTTGCAATCTGATAACTTTCTCGAAGCAATTGCAATGATGATTCTAGATCCACGAATTGATTGTGATGCGTTCATTCCTGTACGACCCACAGGACCCGCCATTGTTCACAGCTTCGGATCTGTAAGCGCAATGCTACCGTGTATCTATGATTATTCAACCATCGATGGGTTTTCCACCCATACCTGAGAACCTACGGTGATTTTTCCCGTAGAATCCTGAATATGGATTCAAAGACTCATCAGAAGCCAGAATTAGGTTAGTAATGAACATATGAAGGTCAATGAGGAATATGAATGAATTTAACCGCATGAATACAATCAACTTTGAAAGAGTAAAATCGATTAAAATAAGCATTTTTCATGTTTCTTCTCTTTCGTCTCTATCTCAGTGGGAGACTAGAGCTTGAAATTTCTTGATCTTCAAAGTAACACTAGAGTAGAGATCCGATGAGACGATTAAAAGTAAGGTCAAGAGTAGCGGAGAGGAGGGAGAGGGGAGAATCGATTGCGAATATGAAAGATAAAAAGAATGTAGAAAAGAACAAGGCAGGTTTTCAAAATTTTGGGGATTTCATTTTCCCCCGTATGTACGCGCGTTTCATTAAAATAGAGGACGCGCATTTAACATACAGCGCCCTCCATGTTTTTAATATTTTTTTTCTTATGACACTAATTTAAGTGCATGTAATAAAGCGTGATCTAAATCCTTAAATTTTTTAAACAAATGACACTTTTTTAATGTCACTCTCTTTTGCGTAACATAAATCAATAAGTATCGTGGTTTGGACATCATAAAAGGGTATTTTTCTTGTAGTGAGATTTAAATAGGATCTAGCAGATTAGTGAAGGTTTCAATAACTCTTATGCTTAAAGAGTATCATACAATTAAATTTCTAACAAAAAAAAAATTATATATACACTAAAGTCCCAATATTTTCAACGATTTGATAAAAAAAAGTCTTAAACTTTATTTTTTTAACAGTAAAGTCCTAACTGACGATTTGACAATGAAGTTCTAAACTTAATTTTTTTGACAAAAAAGTCCTAATTACCAGCTAACCGGGAAAAAATGGTAAAAGTGTCAAAAACTGCCGGTAATTTGGACTTTACTGTCAAAAAAATAAAGTTTAGGATTTTCTTATCAAATCGATGAAAATATTGAGACTTTACTGTATATATCCCTAAATATTATACATGCATTTATAAAAAATATTACACATACCTACTTTTAAATAAATATTATACATAGATTTATATAAATATTAGATATACACACTTTTAATTATAAATTTTTGTAAAATACGTTATCTTTTTTTAAAATTTCAATATGTATTTAAATTTTTATATGAATTTGATGTACAAAAAAAACTTTATATTTAAAATTAATTAATATAATCTAATATATAACAAAATATTATAAGTATTAAATATTATATTTAAATTATAATTAGTAGGTAAAAATGAACTAAAAATGTATAAATATATAAACAGAGTGAGTAAAATTGACAACGTAAAGTTCATCCCCATTTTGGGATAAATGAATAGTATAACACCATATTTTGTATAATACTATTCATATCCCCCAAAATAGGAGAATAAATGAGGGAATGTTGGAGAATAATGGAGGAATAAATAAGGAAAAAATGGAGAATTGGAATGGGTTGGAGATGCTCTAACGCGATTAAAGCTTATTGTGTGATTATTTTATTTTATTCATTCTCTTAAAAATATATAATATTTATGTTTTGAATTGTTATTGCAATTCTCAAAATGATCGAAATAAAAACAATATCAAATTACAACAAGTGGTTATGTAATTTTAAATCATATTTTACTTTTATAACTACTATTTGAGATTTTGTCTTTTATTTATACTAGATTTTATAACTACTATTTGAGATTTTGTCTTTGATTTATACTAGAAAGGTTACCCATATTACGCGAAGACTAGAAGCTTTCAATATTGTTTCTGAATCGATAAATATGACAGACGTAGAAAATGCAAGGATGAAAAGTCTGGAGTTTGCCCCAGACCGTTTTTTTCATGTTTTTATGAAAAAAATATAAAAGTTTTGACTGCAAGGATCAGAAGTTTTAAAACGGATAAAGAATTAAAGGGATAGGAATTAGCAATTTTTTAGAAAAGAGATCAAAGTTGTCAAACCGTTAAAGTTTTGTGGCCAAAATTTAAATATTAAAAGGTTCCTAAAATGTATAAAAATATTGATTGCAATGACCAAAAATATCAAAATAGGTAAAGAATGAGGAGCAAAGAGCAGGGATAATTTCTGCCAAAAAAAATACCCAGTTTACTATTCCTAAGCTTCATATATATATATATATATATATATATATATATATATATATATATATATATATATATATATATATATATATATATATATATGTGGATATGGAATATGCATTACAGTCTCACCTAAGCTTAGGTACAAAACCACTAAAATATGTCGTTTTAACTTAGCAAATATACCCGATTTGGTTTTCACTTGGTAAATACACCTCCTTGGTAACATTTTCTTCCTCCATTATCATTTTACCATGCTTATTTTCTTTCCTCAATTATTGTTAATTACTTCACTCCAGTAAACATTACTTTTTCGCACTATTAATAAGGTCGAAGATAATCAATATTCTTGCTTCTTTATCAAAACTATTTCGTCTATCTTGAATCTACATCATCAAGTGTTAATTGTGAATCTCTTAACCACAAACTTTATATAGTAAAACAATGTATTTACATTAGGTTTAGTACCTAAGCTTAGATTGGGCTGTAATCTATATTCACTTTTCCATATATATATATATATATATATATATATATATATATATATATATATATATATATATATATATATATATATATATATATATATATATATATATATATATTAATTTATAATTTTTTATGTATTTAAATATCAAGAGTAAATTACACGAATGGTCCCTATGGTTTTGGGTAATTTGCACGTTTGGTCCATAACTTATTTTTTTAACTCAGAATGTCCCTACAGTTTGTTTTTGTTACGTGTTTGGTCTATATTTTACCTAAAAAGATTATTATTTAAATAGAGAAAAATGGTGAGGTAGGTAAGGTAAGGTGAAGGGTGAGATTGAGAATGTGTTTATTTAAAGAAATTAAAAAATCAAGGGCAAAATAGTCTTTTTAGGTAAGAAAGGAATCAAGCGCGTAACAAAAACAAACAATAGGGACATTTCGAGTTAAAAAATTAAATTAGGGACCAAACGTGCAAATTACCCTAAACCATAGGGACCATTCGTGTAATTTACTCAAATATCAACGTTAATTAATATTTTTTCACTAGATAATTCAATAAATTGAATAAATTGTTAACACCAATCTTAAAGAGGCTTTTTCTTTAAGAAATAACTTAAAATAAAGTCAGTATAAAAAAATAAATAAATAAATAAAAATAAAAAATAAAAAAAAAAAAGCCGTAGGAAAAAGCTATAGGGTGAGTTTTTTTTTTTTTTTTTTTTTTTTTGACCATATATGATGTTTGTGAAAGAAAAAAAAAGTGTTCGTTTTCTGACTGAAGACATAAAAATGTCTGCTCAAGGTCTTTAAAATGAAAAAAATAAAATAAAAATAAGCTTGAAGAGGTTCACTGTCTAAAACCTAAATCACGCTCCACCCCTGGTCGTCTTCACGCCGGCTACCTCCGCCTCCGGCCTCCATAGCCGACGCCGACGCCTCCCCTTTCTTTCACGCTGTTAACGCCACCCGCTTGAGGTACACATCTCGGTCTTTCTTCTCTTCTCTATTTTTTCTCCACTCTTGAATATAGCTCTTACTATAGCTGATTAGTGCTGAAGTCGTCACTATCTCCTGTCTCTTTTCTCTCCATTCCTGAATATGATTAGGGCTGATTATTGTTGCTTATTAGGGCTGATTATTTTTGCTTATTAGGGCCGATTATTGTTGCTTAGCATATACATATGAAACTGATTAGGGCTGATTATTGTTGCTTATTAGAGCTGAATGACTGTTGTTGCTTAGCATTTATATAAGAATCTGATTAGGGGTGATTATTGTTGTTTTCTTCTATGTCTCTGATTTTTGATGTTTGAAGCTGCTTTTGAATCTGATTAAGGCTAATTTTTGCATCTTTGAAGCTGTTTTTTGATACTTATGCTGATTTTTTAATTTTTATGTTTGAAGCTGATTTTTGCAGACTTCTGGTCCACAAACAACACCAAATGTTTTAAAATATACGTTTTACTTTATACTATCTCATAAAAAAGAGTGCTCCAGCATACTCGATACATCGGTATATTTTTTTAATTGTAATATCTGAAATAACTAAATAATGGAATACAGAGATAAGTGGATGTTTGTTAGTTTATCATAATATACGGGGAATGCATAGGTTAAAACAAGGATTTCTAAAACTAGTGATATTGAAGTTTAAATTACCAAATTAAAAATTCCTAGTTTATGAAGGGATATGTTTATGATTATCCTTGTAAAGGGGATACCTAAAATGTCTGAAAAAAAAAGTCATATTTGATGATAGATCGATGAATTTCTCCACTGATATAAGTTAGTTCTGTGACACTCCCAAATAAAGAAATTGAAGAGACGAGAATGCAAAGAGGAGACTTAAAAACATATTTGACTTGTACTTGACATTTTATTTCTACACAATCAACATACAATCGTATTCCTCCTTTAAACTATTAATGCAGCCTTAATGATTTAGTAAGTTTTAAAATTCCAGAAACAAAGTCAATGGAGTCAAAGTCACCAGTCAATCTAACGGGTACAGCTAAGGCTGCAAAATATGCACCACCACTTGGCTTAGTTGACATAGGCGAAAGCAAACATGCTTTCATCTTTCGCGTCTCCTTACCCGGTGTCTGTAAACCTCAGTGTAAGTACTAATCACTAAATTGCCCCTACACTAATAACTCCTTATTTCAAATACCCAAAAACATAAGAATTATAATTTCATTGCAGGCAATGTAAAGCTGGATATCCGTAATGACGGGCGGGTCGAAATCGAAGGAGTTATCCAAGAAAGCGAATTTATCAACAAACATTCCAACAACAAATACAAACCAAAACTCCAACAACTACCACCTTCCGGAAACTTCAACATTATATTTAACCTACCTGGACGCGTTGACCCACGGTTGACCGTTCCATCCTTCCGGAACACCGGAATACTCGAAGTGGTTGTCATGAAACATATCACACCCAACTACTCCGGTACCCCTGTCACCCCTATTCCCCTTTAGTTTGTCCATTTTACTTTCGTGGGTTCAAAAAAAGTGTTATTAAAGAGCCCGATTTATTAAATGATTATGTGTAACTTTTGTTATGTTGCGATGTTTTTATTTAGAAATCTCGTAAAAGTTTACAAATCAAGAAACGGAAACATTACAAGTTTTATGACATTTATCAGTTTTTTGTTTTCGTAGGGTAGGAAGCCATCATGTAGAGCCCACACATCCCTTCGGACTTCCCGGTTTTTCTCTTCATTCTTATGTATCCTTTTTCACCCCATTTTGGTCCCCATGAGTTTCTCACTATCACGTAATCCAGTCCCTTGGTTGTCCCGTATCCAACGGCTGCTACTCCGTGATCCAATTCGGTCCCACAATGCCCATCAAACACACCCTACACAACATTTTAATTTATTAAGTCATTCTATTCAGATTAAGTAAAAAAGAAACAAATTTATTAAGTCATTCTATTCAGATTAAGTAAGAAAGAAACAACCAGGTATACAAGTCGAAACAAAACATCTCTTACCCCACTGTAAAACTGGAAGTCACGACCAGAGGCTTCAATCGCGACACTGATTGGTTGGTTTGCAAGTGCCTTCAAGAAACTATCTTCGTTGTTACGAGGCACATCGTGATACCCACTAATCGTCACCTTTTCTGATACATCCTATAAGAATAAACAAATATATCTTTTAGAATTTTGAATTTTTTAAATTTTCATAGGGTTAAAAAAAAAAAAAAAAAAAAAAAAAAAATTTACCTTTTTGTCATCGCATGTGCCTTCACTCATGATATAAGGATACTCTTCTTCTTTATGAAGCCCACCATTTCTCGTAATATAAGCAAATGCATAGTCCATGAGACCTCCATTACAGCCATTGTTGAAGCTCGTGTCACAATCAATCAGTTCCTGTTCTGATAACACGGTTAAATTTCCTGTCACGATTTGGTTTATACCTTCCACAGCAGCCACAGTTGAAAACGCCCAACAACTACCTGTATATGAATATTTAATACACATTTTTAAAACAAACGTAAAACAAATCTCACTTGTACTCCAAGCTTTATAACTTGTGGTTACTAGTTACAACTTACCACATTGACCTTGGTTCTTCACCGGAGACACGGCTCCTTTTTTTCTCCAATCCACCGATTTTGGCATATCAACGAAATCTTTATATATAAATTCTTCATTGGATTCGGTTTGTTTCAACTCAGGGGTGAGACCTAAGAATTTGTTTTTGAACTCTTCATGTGTCATGTCAGCAAACTCGTTGAGTCCAAGCCAGTAGTTGTTGACTTTCTTGTTTGTGTCATCGATGTGTTTAAGGTTGTCCATGAAGATCTCGAATCTATGTAGCTTTTCGTCTAGACTTTCGTAGAGTTTACTGTGTTTAGCAACCCATGATTCGAAAAGGTTGATGACTTTATGAATGGAGGCTAAATCGTCTGGGGCGTATCCTAGGATTGAAAACTCGTGGGAGAGAGTTGAATAGGTTAAGATTGATATGAATACGATGAAAAGGGAGGATTGTTTGGAGGTAATGAGGATTGCCATGTTTGTGTTGTGTTGTGTTGTGTTGTGGAGGATATATGAATGGAGGAGGGTTTATATAGGCATGGGTTTATGTTGCTTTGAAGTTAAGATGTTTGAAAAAAAAATATTATATGATTTCTTTAAGTTTGGTTCTTTTTGGTAATCTTTTCATACAAGCATGTCTCCTTAGGGAACACTTAGAAGCGTGAACTTGATCCAAACAATTTATTAATCATCGTTGGTGGTTGGTGAGTGATTTGTGCATTCTTATTGTAACTTATCGTATTTTCATAGTGGATTTGGCATGTGTTGAACTATTAGTTTCAAGTTGTTGTTAACAAATAGATAGAGTGAGAGGGGAAGCCCCAATGAGATAATTTGATATGTTTTTTTTTCTTCTAAAAGATGAAACATATTTAGACTGCCGAGCATTTGTAGTCGATTTTTAAGAGTACAGCCAAAGTGGGTCAATAGGATCATTTTGGATTCAAAAGGAGGATTTAAAGATCCACAATGATAAATTTTCAACATACCAACATATATTAATATATTTAATTTAATTTATTAATTTAAATATTTTGTTGAAAATTTTATTTCAAAAAAATAACCCTAAATCAAAAACTAAATTTAATATTTTTTTTCATGTACACGTGTACAACCCATATGTAAAGCAGAGACCATTGATATGTATTGTTAAGAAATGTATATCTTATCATTATATTCATAAGAATTACAATTTTTTTAACAAATGTTTGGTATCTGTAGCTTTTAGAGTGCCCAGCCACGAGAAATAAGAGGGCATTGGGAAAGACTATCACGGCGAAGCAACAATAGATTGTAACCTCACGTAGTATACGCAAACACAACACAGTGACACATGTACACCAAAATATCATGAACATAATTGGTAGCGAGTGTTTCGTAGCTTCTATCTATCTTTTAGATTTTAACAAGAAACTTGATTTAAACAAAAAATTTCGTTGAGAATAAGAGTGTATAGCTTTTAGTTTAAACATAAAGTTTCAAACTAAAAACTATTTCATTAAGTGTTGACGAAAAGGTTTTTTTAGTTTTTTTAATCAGTTTCCAGAATTGTCCGTAGAAATATATTTATATATTCATGTATTTAAACAATTGTCATTTTATGTATATTTATATATTTCAAAAACTTTTAATTATTTTTATCAAAAACTCGTATAACAAATAAAAACTATAATTATCGGTTAGATATCCACTATCATTTTCCAGTTAACTAATACGTGCCCACTTGAGATAACACCAACCCAATACATAATAGCCTAGTTATAAATATAACTAGGCTCAAAGGAGTAACAAGGAATCATGCTAAATTGTTGGATTAATGAAGAGTCAAAGAAGAACATTAGAAGAATTGGTATTACTCTTTGTCAAGATTTGAAATTTTTAAGATGTTTAAATTTCAAAGATATCTGAATTTTTAAGAGGGTTGAATTTTTAAAATTTAAACTTTTAATATGATATTTGGTTGGAATCTCTGAATTCTTTTACTGAATTTTAAAAATAACTATTTTACTTTTCTGTTTTTTAGTGAATTCAAATATCTATTTATAAAATAACCAAAACAATTTCTTTTATATATATATATATATATATATATATATATATATATATATATATATATATATAATATATATATATATATATATACACCAATTAAATCTCAAATCGAACATAAATCAAAATTAAATACAATCTAAATCAAACATAAATATAACATTTAAGCAAAACAAATGCATATTTTCAACAACATTTAAGCAAAAAAATGCATTTTTTTTAACAAATCAGATTAGTTTTGCAAGATTTATCATCATATACCTGATTTTTAGATCAAGTTTTCAACTATAATCTGATTTTAAATCAGATTTTCAATTATAGTCTGATTTCATATACGATTTTCAAGGACATCGGGTTTTCAAGCATATTAGATTTTGAAGCACATTAAAAAAGTATTCAAGGAAAAAACAAAGCGCATATGATTTCAACATTTTAAGCATTTCAAACATTATAACATTAAGTTTTATATTTCAACTTAAAAAAATAGCATCTGATTGCAGAAAACATTATCATATCATATTTTTGTAAGCATTTTATAAGAGTGGAAAAATGATTAAAAAAAAAAACTAAAAAAACCACAAAGAACCTTTACATAAAAATAATTACTTTTTTTTACCGTGGATTAATGGTTGTTTTTCAAAATAAATAAATAAAAATCGTCAGCCAATCGCAACAAGAGAGAAAGCGGGAGAGGCTCCCCTCTCCGTTTCCTGCACTATGCTTTCCCGTGCCGATGGTTCGGTGTTCCGCCGGGCAGGAAGCATCCCGCTGCCTTTTCCCACGTCCACTCCGTCCGGCCTAACAGTATATGTACTCATTTGAAAATCATACTCCATATTTGAACCATTTTAACCGTGTAAAGTATTTGTAAACGAATAAAAAGCGATGTCCACTGTTCACAATAACATTTATCATTGGTTACTTCTATTTTCATCTATCAAATCAACTTTAACCTTAAAATATTATCTTTTCAAAATGTAAGTTACCAAACTAAACAATATTTTATAGGACTTTCAACTTTGCCTGAAAAAATAAAAGAATAAACATTTAATCAGAACTTTGCAGTTTAAGTAGCAAAATAATAGAAATAGGGGGTAATGAAAGATCCAGCTAGTGGTTGCTATCTTTTACTTGAGTGAGTAAGCAAACAGCCAAAGAGACATAGCATAGGCTAACGTCACCTCCATATTAATTAAATGCGTCCTCCCTCATTTTCCCCAAATTCCCCGCACGTGTCACCTTTTTTTCTTCTTTTCTTTTACTTTTTTGTACTAATATATATATGATAAATATCATTTATTTCTTTCACTAAATTTTATCATATGTGTTTGTTCCATCAATAGAAAACAACAACAGTTGCAGTTAAAAAAAAACCGCATAGCTTTATACGGGATAATAACATTTTCTTTTATAAGTGAATAGTGTGTCAAATGTGATTTTCAGATATATAATAAAATGGTTTATATTAGATTTTTTATTATTTTTCGAACAGCTAATTGTTTAAGATGTTACTGCAGTAAAAAAGAGATAGTGAACATTATCACCAATTTTAATATACTTTAGGAGTAACGATATGTTTGGGTAACAAACTTTTAGGGATAATAATTTTAAGAATAACTAATTAGGTTAGAAGGAATGATATTATTTTTGTTATATTAAATTTTTTGTTACATATGCATCACATCACCTTATATTTTTTATATCACTTTATATTTTTTATACCTCTTCAAAAACTTGTCATTTAAAAGAGCTAATATGTTATTTTCATTACGGTGTATATATATATATATATATATATATATATATATATATATATATATATATATATATATATATATATATATATATATATATATATTATATATATATATATATATATTAGATGTGTCTGCGCAAAGCACCAGCGATAAATAGCTCTTTTGACGAATTTATATTATAAGTTATTATGTAATAAAAAAGTTACTATTTTTTAATTAAAATATTTATGTTTAAAACTTATATTATATTGTCTGTTTATATATTTGGTGTAAATTAATTATTATGGGTTTCTAGTTTAAGATATACAAATTAATTTATATAGATAAATTTAATATATAAAAATTTTAATTTTGCTTGAAATTAAATTTTTAATAACCTTCCATAATTCTAGTCTTCAAAATTTTGGCAAGTATTAATGATTTTTTATGCATAATTGATTTATACAAAAAACTTTATATCTTATACATCTTAAAATTCAAGATATGACTAATATACTTTATAATATATATATATATATATATATATATATAATTATATATATATATATATATATATATATATATTTAAAACTAAATTATATAAAAAAAATTAATCAATATAAACAAATTAGTTTTTATAAAAGGGAAATCTGCGAAACAGTCCCAATATTTTAGGCCAGTTTACAATTTAGTCCCAAATTAAATTTTGTTTACAAAAAAGGACAGATTACCGGCTAAAACTTCGGATTAACCCTTCGTGGTCGGTTTCACAAATTTAGCCGGTATCTCGTCTTTTTTCGTTGATTAATCCAAATTTTGGGGCTTTTTCATTAATTAATCAAAATTTTAGGGCTTTTTCATTATTTATTACCAATAAAACCAAAATATTTGGACTAATCTGAAGATTACTTTTAAACTAATATATATTATATGATTTAATTTAATATGTACTATTCCATGTCTTCTTTCTTATCCTATTCTAGGCTCACCGCGTGTTTTTATCGGTGTCGTCAAACCCAACAACAAAAATTTCACTCATAAGCCTCATTAACTCCGTCAATTTTCCAAAATTATCCATTCACAACTCTATGATCATCTTTCAATCTACAAATAAATAATGGAGAAAATCCTTGTTGATTACTTGGATGTCCCTATTACCTAACCATGACTTAAACTGTGGTTCCAACACTTGGATGTTCCTATTACCTAACCATGACTTGAACCCATACACTAATGGCGTTGTACACAGTGTTGTTAACAATAGAAGACGAATCTCACATGTTCAACCACTGATACATTGGCTCAAGTCTCACTTGACCTTTGTTTCCTTACAACACTGTAGAAGCCCCAACGTAAGATGAATCTCACATGGTTCATCATTTATTGGTTTTTTTTTGTCAAAAAGTAAAGCATTTTGGAATCCCCAAATACACTAAAATGTAATAATGACAATTATTGTAATATCACACCAATTGTCATTATGACTTAAACGTAACATCACAACAATTGTCATTATTACATTTTAGTCTATTTGGGCTTCCAG